TCATTATGCAAATTAGGTAATTAGTATCCACGGATTATTACCAAAAACTAATCAAAACCTAGCATTAGTTCAGAGCATCTATGTACCAAGTTTCATCAAAATCCAATGAGTGGTTCTTTAGATATCAGTGGAACAGTCATAGAACAGCTAAAAATTAGCTAATTATCATGCAAATTAGGTAATTAACGAGCATGGATTTTTACCAAAACCTAATCAAATCTGCGCATTGGCCCAGAGCATCTATGCACCAAGTTTCATCAAAAACCGATGTATGGTTCTTGAGATAGCAGTGGAACAGTCGGACACACATACACACACACACACACACACACACACACACATACAGACACACTAACTGCAAAGACTCCCATTTTGTGCTTCGCACATGGGAGTCAAAAATGCAAGTGTGTGTGTTTCAAGTATGAACATGATCAGTTCAGCCACATCTGAGATACAGGTACACATAATGCATAGAGGTCAATCCACAAGTCCCGTTTTCAGACTTTGTCCCAACAAGGATAAATTAAACATGCTGTGAATGTGAACTTCACTGCATATTGCCATACATGAATCTGAAAGTTTACATCAATACAGCAGACTGTGTGTCATCTGCACAGATAATTCATGAAATAAATAGAGCCGTTATCATATGCATCTATCAGTGAACACAGAGTCAACAGAAATTGCTAATAATTACCATTGCGAAGTTCAAGACGAATTAATTTGTTGTCATCATACACATCTTCAACTTCTCGGCGATACTTTCGGAATTCTTCCATCAATTGATGTCGCTTTTCAATCAATTCCTAAAATGAGACATAAGCCATGTATAACTATTGTAATGAGCTTTCTTGCTCTCAGAAGGTCAGAGGTCATGTTATCACATTATTATATTGACTTCTGTTGACTTAAAACCACATCCAAGTAAGATCAATAGAAAAGGTAGAGTGCTCCAGTTAAGAGTGGTAGATGGATGTGTGTTGTTTATTGTCACGAGTGGAGAGATGCACATAACACATGTAAGCATTGGGTTCATAAATAGTTTCATGACTTATCACTGATCAGTTTGTGTCCAGTTAAAGGGGAGTTTGTTGATGTATGTGTGAGAAGTGTCCTTTATGGTAGTAAAATGTGTCCAGTTAAGAATAATGTGTTTAAAATTACACAAGCAGCCTATCGGCTGAGATAGCTCCGCTGTTAGCAATGCACATTTCAATTAAAGAACTGAAGACATCATTAGAAAATGAACAATATGTATAGTATCAAAGCAATCGGACTTACAGTTTTTAACAAGAAGTCGAAAATATCACTTTCTACCAAAAATGACCAAAATATTCACCAAAATTAGAGAATTGAAGATATCATCACGAAATGAACAAATCTAAGAAAGGTCTACATGTAGTATCTATATAGAAATATCAAAGCAATTGAACTTTTGGTTTTTAACAAGTCGAAAATATCACTTTTTACCAAAAATTACAAAAATATTCACCAAAATTAGAGAATTGAAGATACCATCACAAAATGAACAAATCTGAGAGGTCCACATGTAGTACCTATATATGTAATATCAAAGCAATCAGACTATTGGTTTTTTACAAGAAGTCGAAAATATCACTTTTTACCAAAAATGACAAAAATATTCACCAAAATTATAGAATCGAAGATACCATCACGAAATGAACAAATCTGAGAAAGGTCTACATGTAGTATCTAAATATGTAATATCAAAGCAATCGGACTTACAGTTTTTAACAAGAAGTCGAAAATATCACTTTCTACCAAAAATGACCAAAATATTCACCAAAATTAGAGAATTGAAGATATCATCACGAAATGAACAAATCTAAGAAAGGTCTACATGTAGTATCTATATAGAAATATCAAAGCAATTGAACTTTTGGTTTTTAACAAGTCGAAAATATCACTTTTTACCAAAAATTACAAAAATATTCACCAAAATTAGAGAATTGAAGATACCATCACAAAATGAACAAATCTGAGAGGTCCACATGTAGTACCTATATATGTAAT